ACAGGGAACGCACCAGAGAAGGAGAGTAAAAAATTTTTTTGTGTGGTGCTGGGGTTGGTTATATAAAAAAATTATAAATAAAAAATAAAAATATTATAAATAAAAATATATTATATTAAAACGCGAGAGCGCGAGAGCGCGCGCGCAGAGTGTGGCCCTTTGGAAGAAGTTTTTAAAATTTGGTCCAAAGCACACCAGAGAGAGGGATTGCGCGCGCCGTGAGAGTTGGGGTGTCCCACAGGCTAGGGGGTAATGTGGTAAGAGAATTACAACAACATAACCACTAAGCTTAAGATTAGCGAGAGGAGTATGAGACGCATATCTAGTTTTTTAAGTTAAGAGTCGTAAGATTAGACTTAGTCGCGAATCTGTGGCCCACCCTTCGGCAGAGGTCGTGAGCTACAGACCAGCTGCACCACCACACATCACTCCACACCACATCATCTCCAGGTCAAGGCTGTGGCCTTGAATACTGTGATGACAGTGAGATGTGACATGTCGCCAGGGAAAGCATCTTGAGTGACAAGGCTGAGGTTCACGATGTCATCTGTTGGTCGCGCAGTGGCTGAGACACGTCTGAACCGTTGACTGCCATGCAGCTTACGATCGTCGGCACTAGTTTGTAGTGCGGCAGGAAGCTGTAACGGCAGGGAATTGTCGGCTTGACTCACCCGGTAACAGGAACCCTGCACGTGAGAGGCGGCCTGTGCCATGAAGAGAGTAGAGGAGAGAGAGAGGTCGTTGACGTGATCCATGGGATGAACCCATTTTAAAGGTACCACACGATCACGTAATGCGAGTGCGAGCAGCGATTTACATAGGAGAAGCACATTAGGGTGCCTGCAGTCAGAGTGGGGCGTTCCCATCCCATGCAAAGTTGCCCAAAAAAGGCCTAATAAGCGGGTGTTCCGGCCCTGTTTCAAGCACGCTGTCCTCTAGACGTATGCAGCCAACAACACAAAGTTCGCAAACACACATTGTCCGCTCCGATTACCCTTCCGGACTACTGGTAGGGTCATCCAACCAACCTCCATCCCTCTTCTTCTCGCCCGAGCGCCGTCTGGCCCAAGACGAACTGCTTCACGTAAGATGCTCAATAGACATGGCACAGGGTCTCGGGAGTACTGTGTTGGACTGCTCTGGGACGAATCCGAAACTTGTCTGGATGGGTTGGGATCTGCATCTCTCTCAACCTCCCTGACACCAGGTGGGGCGGGAGCTCCTCGTACCACCCGCCTGCATTGGGATGCCGGCACTTCCCCGTAGTTTGGTATCCGGTAGGGGTGGGCAGGGAACTTCTGTGGGGAGTCGTGAAGTAGGTCAAGGGTGTGGAGAGCTCATTATACAGAGGTTGAAGGGAGGGGCACCAAATAGGGTGTAGGATTTATTAGACCCACCAAAGTCTTGACAGTCTACCACGATAACTATATGTACTCCCTTGTAGGCGTCGCGCCGCTGGGTCTTTTGGGGGGTGGGGTGTTTGTAGCAGTGGAGGGCCTTGGAGGGGCCTTTTTGGTCGCGCACCGTCCGTGCCTCACGTTTTCGGGGGATCGCAGCTTGTTCCTTACAGAGAGAGTTTTTAGAGTTTGGTTTCTTACACACGGCGGTACATGCTTACCACATTCTTCGAGTACACACCATTGGCCTACTGCTGCGGGTCACGGGTTTCTCGGTTGTTTTTCACCTCCTAGTCTCTCCCTGTGCCCTACTCATCTTCGACGTATCCAGGCAGCTGTCTACTGGCGACTTTATGGCGCGCACTGATGAGAGGCCTCGGCGACATTCACAGCAGACCGGAGGCCTCTTCCGGCCTCCTCGCGACCACACGCCACGGTGAGCCGTAAGATCTGTTACTGCGCGTGAGGGGCATGGACAGAAATCCTGTGTCTGCTTTGACCTGGCCGAGCGTTCATCCATCTCTCTCTCTCTTTCTCTCTCCTCTCGCCTCTCTCAATACCTTCGCGAAAACTTGACAAAGGCCCGACAAGAAAATGAACAACGACTCCAAACAGATAAAAAGACAGAATCTCAACAAGACGAGAAATTACAAAATTAAAAAAAAACTATAAAAAAAAATAAGTAAAAAAAAACAGGTATCCGAGAATGAAAAAAGTAGACTCGAGGAAGAAGAACAGACCTCGCAAAAACCGAAATAAGAAGTCTTTTTATTTTTTTTTTTTTTTTAAATCGGGTCTCTCTCTTCTCTCTCTCTCCCCTCCTCTCCTTTCTTCCCTTCCCCCTCCCCTCTCTCACTGTCCCTCTCTGTTCTTCACTTCTCTCTATCCCTCCATCTCTCTCTCTCTTTCTTCTCCCTTCCTCTCTTTCTTCTCCCTTCCCCCCCCCCCTCTCTCACTGTCTCTCTCTGTTCTTCACTTCTCTCTTTCTCTCGTTCTTACACCTCCTGTAGAATCCAAACTACAGTAATGAAGTTTTCAAGACTGTCCTCTAAATATTCTTTATGTTTACCGTATATCACTTTATGTTAAAATCTAAAAACTTGCAACTTGTTTGTCTGTCTGATGATATTGTCAGATTCTGTTGGAAGGGTGTACGATGGAGGTCATGAGGTGGCTCCAGGAAAACTGCTTCCAGTTGGCAGAGTCTCTCTGTCTCTATTCCAGGTGGAACGGAATAGAGACACATGCATCTCATTACTTCGTCATGTCCGGGCGACCCATCGTCGACGTCGTATGCCACATACTGTCCAACCATACATCAGTGAGAGAGGGCTTATTTTTTTGTGTTCATAAAATTTTTTTGCAGTGTTCATAAAATCATAACATTTTTTCTTATAGGATCATAAAAAGACTTACTCGATTCTAATGGCATATTTGAACCTTACGCTGTTTGAAGCCCGGAATGCTGAGAAACAAATGCCACTCGTAAGTCATTACATCATAACGATGTAATCGTATTTTCTAGATTTCTCATGCAGCTGCGACCTCTAGCAGACAAGGTTCTGGAGCTCTATGGCAGTGGTCATGTGACCCAATCATCTAGTCATGTGACTTGTCACGTGATCTCGCTGCTGCTGGACTCGTGGATGGTCGGCTACTCAAGCGACAAAGCTATCAGTTTGTTAGAGAAACAGTTGGAATCACTTACTGGAGAAGAAAGGTTAGGGAGGGAGGGAGAGAGGGGATAAATATGGTGAATGTTCTTGTTGTCTCCCTGTGGCCGACAGCTGTCGAGGAAGGATGTGTCACTCCATGCTGTGTCTCAACTCGGGGAGAGTGCAGGAGGCTAGACAAGGCCTCTGTAAAACCCCAAAGGCAAGACTGATTACTGCGCAACTTCATGACCTAAATTAGTACCTCGTTTTAATCATAACTCCTGTAGTTTCGATACCGTTGTGGTTTAAGAGTGGTGATGTTTTGTATACTACTATTGAGGCCAAAGAGTGGCAATACACGACCACTTTTGAACCACTGTGGTATTTGCACAAGTGACCATGACCAAATTTGTATATACCCACTCTTACACCACATTGATACCACGTTAGTACCATTCCCGGACCACAGTGGTCTAACACACGTACCGTTCCCGGACCACAGTGGTCTAACACGCGTACCGTTCCCGGACCACAGTGGTCTAACACACGTACCGTTCCGTACAGGAAGACCTGGAGAGATGGATGATTGGAAACGTTAGATTTTTGCTGGACTCGCCAACTTTAACCCTCTCACCACTGGGAAAAGTAAACGATGCAATGAATAATGCCGCAATGTTCTATCTCGTCATCTTTGCCCAGCTTGTGCTTGAGTTGCAAGAAAGCAGTCTTCTCGATCTCTTTCTCCACCTTCTCAAGAGGCACAAAATGACCTTTGATGACCTTTGCACTCTACTAAAGGTGAGTATTAATTGGAATACTTACTGTATGTCACGAAATTATCACAGCTGAAATTTTACGTGCAGTATGACTTATTTGTTCTCTCTATTCCATCCAGACATAATTATTCTCGCCTATGATAATTATATTTATGACAAAACGCAGACGAAAGATTCCACTGACTTGGCCCAAGAACACGCCCTTAAACGCTTCGTGGAAATGATCGTTCTCGACAGGTCAAAGGTCATCTCCAAGACTACCACCATGCAGGCTGTGGTATGTCAATACACATAAGTCACTTGCAGAAACAACTAGAACTAATTGTTTACACGTTTGTTGTTGTTGTTGCAGCTTATTTTGGTGGAGATGTTGTTTGCTCGTTTGTCAACAACGGAAACGACAGTGTCGTCGAGAAAGCAGACACCATTTGTGATGCGTGGAACTAGACACCGGTGGCTGGATAATGTGGTGCCGTTTGGGAGTGGGGGAGGGGGTGGGGTGTGGGAGGAGGGGGAGGAGGGAAATGGTGTCACCGTGGAAACAACGGGAAGGAGAAAACACGACTATCGTCTTAACGATCTCTTACAGTTGCAGGTATATACCGTGACAAAGGTTGTGAGAGAGATAAATGAAATGATAAAGTGTGGAGCGAGATAGGGGAAAAGATATAATTTTGGAGCTAGATAGAGATTGTAGATAAAAGAGTTTCAAGGAAGAAAGAGGGAAATAGGAAATAGTGGAGGTGTGTGTGTTTGTACTCTGTAGACCGTGTTGTGTAGCAGTCACATGACTGAAACCGTGGCAACGAGAGTGAACGAGCTGCTGACCCCATTGAACCCCGTGAAAGAAGACGGAGAAGGAGAGGGAGGGGCTTTTGTCTACCAAATATCACTTCAGATGCTCTCTTGGCCGTGCGTAGGGAGAAAGAAAGAAGTGAGGATTTTTTCCATTTTTCTAACCCATAGTGTCCAAATGGTTTAAACGAACGTGGCAGTATATAAGGGTTAAATTTAAAACGGAAATTGATTGCATTCGTTCACTGTGTCCTATTGATTAGTTCAATCATTTTTTAACCCCTTGTGTACTGTCATCGACCTTCTCTCTCCCCTCTAGGCCTGCCAGCTCTGTCTCCGCCACAATCCAGGAGCCGTCATCGACTACTGTACGACTATGTTCCCCGGCGACCTTGACCTGTGGGTGTGGCTACTGGAGCAGTTGCTAGGCAATGCCAATTACGAGGGAGACCCCACCCACCCCCAAGACCTCTATAAATCTCTTTATAAAGGTGTGTACATATTGAAACCTCTGAATAAGGGACACCTTGACGACATTGAAAGTTAAGAGGCGTCCTTATTATGAGGTATTATAGTCAATTATTAGTGTGGGGCAGAACCATAGTGTCCTTTATTTGGAAGGTCAATATTAATTTTGTTGGAAAAAAATGTGTTTGTTACTTGCAGAAGCGCTTGGTCATGTGATAACCCTGACGACGCCTCGTGAGTTTGTTTTTCTCCTCCCTCCGACTGGATCTGCCGGTTTCTTCCTCCCTTTCATCGAGCGCAGCATCAAGCTCCACTTCAGCCGAGCAACATCAGACTGCCTCCATGACTCCATACTGCAGTCTAACAACAATACTACCCAATAGCTTGCATCGTGTGTGTGTGTGTTAATATTTTCTGTTGTATGCTCTGTATTTTTTAAGTGTTTTTTTTATGCGTCAACACAAATATTTTTGACAAGTAGATACAATTTTACATGAGCCGACACAATTTACACTGGGCAATAATAATTTTGTCCACTGCCTATAATAATTTTTCGTGTGTCAGGAAGGTTTTTTGTCTTGTACTAGTCTCGTGCTCCTGCTGCTTCTTGTACTCATGGCGTACACTTTCTTCTTTGACCTTTGACCCTTTCTGCCTCCTGCGTGTGTGTGTGTGTGTGATGAAGAGGGTGTCGTTGTCAAGGCGATATGCAACTCTAACCAGTGATGGGTGTGGTGTTCTGAGAGGGCGGAGTCACCAGCTCAATATGTACACCAGCGAGGGACCGCCTCCTGTTGATGAAGAGATAATATTACCAGTATTACATATGTAGTTGTTGTTGAGGGACGATAATATATAGTTTAGCTTCAAAAATTGTGGATTTGGCCCACAAATATTTATCATGATAGAGGTTCCTTTTTTCTTACTACAAGTCACTATAAAGGTTGGTATGTACAACGTACCTTGTTGAAGTGAGTTTCTTGCCTTTCTGCTGTTCCTCCTCCTCCCCCACTACCACGGCTGTCATCGTCGTCTCCCCTTCCCTCCGCCCCATCCTCCCCCTCACTTCTCCGCCAGCTGCCGCACGCCGGGCCGCCGACCTCGTAAACGGAGGAGAAAACACGTACCCCGATTCTTTACCCCGTGGAGTAACGTCCCTCAACTCCGACACTGGTGGAGGAAGGGGAGGTGGGGTGGAAATAATCTTCCCTCGTGAGAAGATGTACTTGCGGTCCCCATCGGGGGTCGACGATTTCGAGGGAACCGGTGTGACTCTCGTAAAAGAGGACCCCTCACTTTCGTCTTCTCTTTCCTCTCCTTCTTCTTCCGTCAGAACAGGAACCATTGTGGCAGATAAGGCGCCGAGTGAAGGAGAAGGTATACCTCGACCTCTCCCTCTGTCGGAACCACCGGAAAACTGGCTTGGACGCTGGGGGCCCCCCGGGAAATTGAGTTTCGGTTCCCGCGATGTGATTGCGTGTGCGAGGGGGCTGGGATGGCGCGGCGTAAATGTCCCGCCAGTGACTCGACTGGTGGGCGTGGCTCGGGGACGGAACCCGATACTCTCGCGACTCAGAACAGGAAATCGTATCTTTTGTTGAGGTGATGAAGTGGTTGCCGTGACACCACTAGATTGAGGACCAGCCACACTGGTAGCATCCATACCTTGTGGTGCATGACAAAAAAACGGCCAACAGAATAAAATACTGAGCAAGTGGGTTAAAATGTCAAAATTTTCATGTGCAGTGACATCCCAATTCTAAAACCTACGACAATTATAGGGATGCTAAGGATATGGTATACATACTTTGTTGTTGTTGTTGTTGTTGTTTATCATCTTCATCGTCTTCATCGTCGGCTCCGATGAAGAGCTGTGTTTTGGGGAGTGGTGACTGTGAGGGTGTGCCCTGGAGGAGTGGGGATTGGGAGAAGTGGGAGGGTGGAGGAGGGGGAAGAGGTGACGGAGAAACAGTCGGATTGGGAGGAGGAGGAGGTGCGGAGGTGGTGGGTGAGTCGGTGAAGGAGTAAAAAAGGTCGGAGTCTTCGCCGGACGGGAGCGGAGTTGCAGCTGCCATGGCTTGGGCTGACGTCAACCCAGGTTTACTGTGGAGTGGGGAAGAAGGACAAAACAGAAGGCAGACATGCAATTTAGAGTTTCAGTTGGCAAGTGGAACTCCTTTAATCCAGACACCAATGGGACAGAAGAAAGTGTCCATATTAGTGAGGTGTCCTGAGCATTATACAGTGGAACTCCTCTAATCCAGACACCAATGGGACAGAAGAAAGTGTCCATATTAGTGAGGTGTCCTTATTTCAGGGGTTGAATTGCATGCAAAAACTGTTTTTGGAGGGAAAGAAAAGTGTCCTTTTTACAGATTAAGAGAGATCCTTACAGACGAGCCCATATACAACACACATGGTTAACTAAATTGCCGAATGTCCCAATTAAAGCACACTACATGCTACATGTGGCTACATACGATTGTCACTTCAGACCTTTCTGGTGGCAAGGAGTGTGTTTGCTGGACAGAAGTAGTAGTCAGGGAAGGCGCCGGACTCTCCATTACCGTACCTTCCTCTGCAAATCTACCACGATGTAATCACGACATCATACACATTACGTCGGCGATAATCGAAACCTGATTCTTCTGGGTTCGCCTCTCCCTCCCTCTCTGTCTTGGCCCGCTTCCCCCTTCTCCCTTCTTCCGTTCTTCACTTTCAATATGGAGGCCGGGAGAGGGCGCCCCGATGCATACACAGACCCTGGTTGCTGTGCCGACTGAGAAATGTCGACAAGTTAAAAAAAAAACAGTCCGCAAGAGAAAGGGTTAATAGCTTACCTGGAGTGGAACTGTTGGCGTTGCTAGTAACGACGGATCAATGTTTGCTGTTTGACTGAAAAAGATTTCAGAGGTGTCCAGATTAGAGTGGTTATACTGCACCGTACACACCTCATCTGCAACATGCGTTGTTTGAAGCCCTCCATGTGCGTTCGTAGGGAGGTGAGTCCCGATACCATACTGGAGGAATGGGAGGGCTGGAACGGAGTGGAGACCAGACTGAACTCCGCCCTAACTGCGACTGGTGTGGCCTGAACCACTGACATCGTCGACAAAGACTTCTGCCTGCAGCGCCATGGAGACGAGAGGAAAAAAAACATGTGCTTGCATTGAAAGTTTAAATTTTATTCCAGTAACTTGTAACTTTACCTGGATAGCATGGCCTTCCTAACAGATGGAGGATGGGAGAAGAACGGTGTGGACGGACAGACGGAGTCCCTGGGGACAAATGAAGAAACTGATTTAGAGAGAAGAAGAGAAGAAGGTTTAGAGAGAAGGAGAGAAGGAGGTTTAGAGAGAAAGAGAGAAGGAGGTTTAGAGAGAAGAAGAGAAGAAGGTTTAGAGAGAAGGAGAGAAGGTTTAGAGAGAAGAAGAGAAGAAGGTTTAGAGAGAAGGAGAGAAGGAGGTTTAGAGAGAAGGAGAGAAGGGAGAGGGGAAAGAGGAAGGAGCTCACTTCTGAGTGAATGGAGATGATGCCGGCTCAGCCTCTGCAGCGTCCCTGGAATTGAATTACATCATCATGACATCGCCACATCAGTTAATAAAAGGTGTCAGTGTTAAAAATAGTAACCCACTTTATTCTCTGCATCTCTTTGAAGATGACGTCAGCTGAAGACACAATCTTCGTCGCTGCCTCCTTCTTTGCCAGCACAGACGACAATGGAGGATTTTTAACTAGATATAGTAATAAACACTTGCTCACAACCCAGCCTAGTAATTATACTTATTACAACACCTCAATAAAAAAAAAACTTACTAAATACATAATTATTTGGTGCAAGAAGGTACGTCATATTTTCTCCAGGAATGTAAAATTGGCAACAATTTTGATTGCACACATGACAGTAGTATGGCGAGATGGGGACAAGATAGGAATAGGGACTGCGAGATAACAGCAGGAGAGCAAATTGAGATGGTAAGGTGAGATAAGGAAGAGACGGTGAGTCTAGACAGACGGTGAGACTACCTCACCTCTGGTTCGAGGGACAGCTGGAGGTCTGGAAGGAGAGAGAGGAACAGGCTCGCCCTCCCCCGACCTCCACACCTGGGACAGCACTCGAGGAGCCACAGCTCTGTAAGCCTCCAGGAGACCGTCTCGGAACAGAGACCGCTCCTTGGCCCCCGGAACCGGGTCCACCTGGATCGGGAATGGGACCCCAACTCCACCTCACTCCGCATACATATATACAGCACCTCTGCTTTTTCTCATTTCCACATATTATGATACGACTAGCATCCTATGCATGGTCTCAGTATTCAGGAAACATTGTGGTTGCAATGTACAATGTACTTAGAAGCGCTGAACGCAAACAAAAAAAACTATAATTTTGTTTTTGTGAGGATGTCACCACATTTCTTATGTTTCACGATAGTAATTCGGAAACCACCGATACACGCAGGCGTTTACAGCCACCACTTGAAAAAGGGAGACGAAAGCAAGAGGGAAGGACGGGGAATGCATATATACCTTGGCTAATGGTCTGATCTTTGATTGTTGTATAATTGCATCGCCGTAGCGACTGTGGGCTGCATAGTGCATGACGAGCAATTCCTGGGCTTGGAATGACGGACACTCCTCCAGATACCCACAGAACATAGCCTGTGTGTGTGTGTGTGTGAGGGGGGGCATGTATTAGAGCACACGGTTAGACAAGAATAAAGGCCCACATACATCTTCGCTCTCTGTCATTGGAATGTTGACCAGTTTACTGAGACAGTTGTCTGTGTGGCAAACAGAAACACGTGTAAAATGTACACATCACAACAAGTCATCTACAGCATTTGTAACAACGAAAACAAGAACAGTGCAACCCCCGTAAATGAGAGCACCTCTCTATAAGGAGATCTTTAGAAGAGTTGTTGCATGCAGGTTAATGGACACCTAACTAAAAAGGACATTTTCTTCTGCATCATTGGTGTCCAGATAAGAGGGCACGCAGATCCCTGTATATACGTACGCTCGTGGCACAAGTCCAGGAAATCCAAGAACATCTCGTCAATAGATTCATCATCACATTCTCTCTGTGCAGGGTGGAAGCAGACGAGGTAAAGGGAGGAGAGGGAGGAGAGGGAGGAGGGGAAGAAGGAACTAACGATGAGTTTAAGAGCTTCCCAGAGGTTCTGCCGCTCCACCAACACTTTCAGCAACAACTTAGGGTCCTTTACAGCAGCCTGTATATAGGACAAAAAGACTTAAAGGCCGCTTTGTAAAGAAAAGTGTTGGATTCTATTTGCTATAAATATTTTATAGGCACATTTAAGAGAGAGACAGACATTAGAGGAAGCAAAAAGGAGGGCCAGGGATCGAGTATCATTCGTCTTCGCCAGGTGAGAGGCCAGAGCCGTCTGTTGCCATGGGAACCACTCGGTGTCGCCCACTCCCTCTTCCCTCAGATGACCAATAGCAACCTATATAACATGTGTGTGTGTGTGTGTGTGTGGTGAGGGAGATGTTTCTGACAAAACACAGTATGTTCTACAGTCCAGAATGATGAACATTTTGAGGGGGGAACAAATTTCAGAGATCGAGGGACAAATGTTAAGTTCTCACTGGACTAATATATGTAGACATGTCATGAGATTGAGAGTGTGTGTGTGTGTGGGGGAGACAGACAGACCTGGTGCTGCGAGTGGTCCAGAGACCAGAACGCTCTGACCAGAGAGAGGAGCGACGTTGGGAGACGGAACTCCCGGCAGTAGCTGGCCAGCAGCTGTGGAGATCGAGGACGGAGAGAAAGAACGTAAGAAGTGTGGAAATATTGTGACTTGCCTCGTTTTGGTTGAAGCTGGACTCTCCTCCGAGAGTGCACACATCGATGAGAAAATACATCATCTTTTGGTTTCAGACGGAGTCAAGCAAAAAAATGCAAGAAATTTGCAGAAACTACACCACTGCAGTGAACCTGCCAGTGACAGCCAACGTAGTATATATGGTGATGTAGCTAAAGAGGCGTGTCCTTGGAGAATTTCACCACTGCAGTGAACCTGCCAGTATAATATATATGGTGATGTAGCTAAAAAGGGGTGTCCTTGGAGAATTCACCACTGCAGTGAACTGGCCAGTGCATATCATTTGGTGATGTAGCTAAAGAGGGGTGTCCTTGGAGAATTCACCACTGAAGTGAACTGGCCAGTATAATATATATGGTGATGTAGCTAAAAAGGGGTGTCCTTGGAGAATTTCACCACTGAAGTGAACCTGCCAGTATAATATATGGTGATGTAGCTAAAGAGGCGTGTCCTCGGAGAATTTCACCACTGAAGTGAACTGGCCAGTGCATATCATTTGGTGATGTAGCTAAAGAGGTGTGTCCTTGGAGAGGGGTTCGACTGTATTATGTTCAGAAATGGTGTATGGGGAGGGATACAAGACAGTGTTGAGCCAATGTGTTTGAGGAGGTGAAGATCACCAGTTGAGCCTGCACACAACAGAAAGAGAGTGTTAGAGTCAGGATGGAATGATCTCCAAAATGAGGAGAATGATCTCCAAAATGAGGAGAAGGGTTAGTAGAAGACAAGACATACACAAGGAACAGTGGGGAGGAACAGTGGGGAGGAACAGTGGGGAGTATGTAAAGAAAAGTGGAAGGAAAGAGAAAGGAAATTGGATATTTTCAGTAAAGCAAGAGATTAGAATAAGAAAAAAAGAGGAAAAAAGAGCGCGAGGAAAATATAAAGAGATAGAAGGAGTAGGTGTTGGAAGAGTAAGAGGAGAGGACCTCGAGACTGGTGGGAGGGTGGTAGTGGGAGTCCTTCATCTGTATCTCCTCACTCAGATGGTCCACACACAACCGGCAACTGGACACGGCACAACATTGGACACAATATTCCAGCAAAATACGGCGTTCACTTTTTAACAAAATACAGTTGAACCTTGCCTTGCCTTTCTACCTCGTTACCAAGTTGTTGAGACATGGGTATAGAGTCTGTACGTGTAATTTTTTAAATCAAGTGAACCTACAGTCTTCGGCACACAATTCTACACATAATGTGCGTAGGAGGATTGGCCTGAATTCTCAAGATTATCACGAAACGATAAAAAAGTGAAAATGTTTCGTTTGGCAGTTTATCTTACCGGCCCATTTCCCTCCTAACACGGCCGTACACTTTGTCCAAGGCATGCAGCAACTCGCCACCTCCTACAAAACACGAACGACATAATGATGATGTAATTGATAGTGATGTAATGATACCGGAGACATGGGCGAGGCCGTTTCTCAGACACCACGTCAAGACTTGAATGACCTTGGATCCGGAGAACGAGGTATGGAAATGAAACGGAATGGAACGGAGCCACTCACAAGGTGCGAAGATGAGGCGGTGATGTAGAATGCAGACAGCTCATTAAAGTGCGTGTTATCAGACGGGAGTTCGGTGGAGATGGAGTGGTGAGGGTGGGGAGGGGTGAGCGGGGAGAGGAGGGAGGCAAGAAGGGAGGAGAGGAGAGAGAATTTCAGTCCGAGGTTGCTCAGAAGGTGAGCTGACTTGTCTGTCGAATCTGCCACTCCTTCAAAAACCTGCTGACCTGACCAAAGAGGAATTTTTGACCAAGATTTTTTTACTAAGCAACAAATTTTTTATTACACTTTCCCTGCTACTGAATATTTTTCGTCTCACTAACAGATGTGGTCTTTTTGGTTTCTCATGTCCTCCATCTTGTCTCGAAGCCAGTCAAGAAAGACAGAGAAACTGATGTCGCCACCTACAGGGGAAAATAGAGAATTACGTAATGATGATGTAATTGATAATCAGATGTGCATGTACCTCCGCTGCTCCAAGTGAAGGCACAGTCACGAAGCAGACTCCTCATGCCGTGGTCCAGTGCCACTGACAGCAACGCCTTCCTCTGAACCTGACATGACAGACTCCGATTCCCCATACTCCTATTCCCCATACTCCCGTTCCTCATACTCCAATTCCCCATACCCTCATTACCCATACTCCCGTTCCCCATACTCCCATTCCCCACACTCATATTCCCTATACTCCCATTCCTCAAACTCCAATTCCCCATACTCCCATTCCTCATACTCCCATTCCCCATACTCCCGTTCTTCATACTCTTATACCTACACTTCCATAAACCCATTCACTCATACCCCCAAACTCCGACACACCATTCACTTCTACTCCTAAACCTCAATCCATTACTCATGCTCCCATACTCCCACACCCCCACACGCCGATTCCCCCATACCTCCAGGTCGGTGTGGTCCAGATCCCAGACGTGTCCGAGGAGGTCAGCCCTCTCGCACAGACTGAACACTCTCTGAGGACAGGAGAACACGGCCACATCTCCCCTCGTCAGCTCCGTCAGGGCCTGGGGGAGAGGGGGAGAGGGGGAGAAGGAACTTAGCCAAACCTCAATAGCTACACATACTGTAGCTGGAAACATTAGGCTTGACAGAAATGCAATTTTATTTTTGTGGCTAAATGGCAAATGTCGCAAATGGAAACATAGTCTCTACAAGTTCCTACGGACCCACATTATTTTCTTGTTTCATTAGATGGAGCTAAACTGACAATTGGTCTCACGTAAAGTATGTCAAAAGGTTAACCCACCTTTCTCTGGAGACCTGGACACGAACAGTTCAGGAGTCCTTCACTAGTTATGGCTCTAATATCTACACAAAAGAAGAACATTTGAAGAAAAAATCTAACATCTACACAAAAGAAGAAACTTTGGTGTTTCCCCTTGAAAACAGTTTCTCCCAACATCAGTTTGCTCCCCTCCAAATGTTCTCAGTATGGTGTATAGACATGCCGAGGAAGGAAGACTTACTGAAGGAGAGAGAGGTTGGCCAAAGATGGCTCTCGGGGATCGGTGGAAGAGAGGAGAGAAAGGGAGCGACGTCCATTACAGCTACATCCTGCAGAACGAGCAGTTATTAGTCCCGTGCAGAACACAGAGAGTGGCTAGTTTATCTGCCCACCAGTATTGTGTTGTTGGTGGTCATTGGCTTGAGGGAGTAGAATGAGAAGTAGGAGCACCCCAGAACACTGTAGAAAAAGATGGTTTTTCTAAGTAGTGATATGGTGGCATATGCATGTGAAAACTACGAGGCAAAGGCACAACAAACAAATCAACTACACCCAGGATAGCTCTTTTTTTCCAAGGAAAAATAAAAGAGCTGCCCTAAGTGGGATTCGAACCCACGACACTCTGCAGTCTAGGCGAGTGCTCTACCAACTGAGCTACCAGGGCAACTCAGCACCATCTACAGTGGATCCTCCGATAAGGGACCCTCCGAAATAGGGACAACCTCTCTACAAAGGACACTTGTTTCAACCCCATGCTAATACTTTAGTGTATTATTTGACCTCTGAGAATTGGGACGACCTCTCTACAAGGGACGAAATCATTGATCCCATAGTGTCCCTTGTTCGGAGGTTCCACTTTAGTCGTTTCACCAGAGAGTCAACTTCAGAGGCATATTCACATGTGCAATGCATGTGTCAACAACAACTAGGTATATAGGTAGTGAGGTAGAGAGGCAACCATTACACCCGCCCAGGACGACATCTCGAGGACTGACCCGCTCTGTTGTCCAGATGTCCTCCAGTGCAGCATCCTGGGGACCTGACTGTGGTAGTATTGGTTTAGATCAAACACTCCGATGATGTAATCCCGGTGGGCGGGGTCACCACACCCCCAAACAAACATCGCCACGGTGAGGTCCGGACCATGAACTGTAACACACCAATCACATGACTCACTGAATTTTGCAACTCACAGACTAGATAATGTGACCATCACATGATTTACAGGCTAGATGGTGTGACTGATCACACGACTCACGGACCGGATCATGTGACTTACAGGCTGGGTCATGTGACTCGTCTGGTTCCCTCCCGGACCTGCTCAGCTCCACGGTGCGACAGAGGAGGAGGGAGGAGGAGAGGGAGCGGTTTGGGTGTGGTCTCGTTGGCGTGGGGGTCAAAGGGTACAGAAACCCCGGCCCACATCTCGAGAAGTCCTGTGAGGAAAAAATTGAGGCAAAAGATAAAGTTGAGAAGGTGGCAAGGAAGGGGGAAAGGAAAGGCGTATAACAGTAGAAGAAAAGGAGTACCTGGTAAATGGTGCCTCTTTCCCCGCATACTTTGTGGTCAAACAGAACTTGATAGAGAGTCAGCTTATTCTCGACATCCAGACTGCAGGAGGGAAAAAAACATCAAATCAGCTCAGCAGCAAAAAATATGATTGTATTGTTCACGGGGCCTTAGTAAAGCAGCAAAACACGAGTCAGTATACGTAACTGCTATAATGGAGCCAATGGCAGGCAGAAACGGGGGTTGAAGTAGGGGGCTAAATTTTTAAGGACCCCAACATTAGGTGATAATAGGGATCAAATAAAAGGGAAATAAGGCATGGGAATTAGGGAAAGAGAGAGAAAAGGAGAGAAAAAGAAAGAGAGGGGTGCTGTATACTTGGCATGTTCTGGGCTGCCACGAGCCACCCAAATGTAGACATTGTTCTTTGGGTCGTTTTCCGGTTCCTGGAACGTGAAATGAGTCACGGGGATCGGGGTTTTCGGCGGAGGACTTGCGTGGACCACGTCCATCTTCCTCATGTCATAGAGTTGGAACGACCCGATACTGTAGCCGATGAGGAGACAGAGGATTTGGGGCGCGAAATGGAGAGATGTGATGGCGAGGGAGTCAGTGGGGAAGGTGCGAGTGGTGGCCTGGTTGGTGGAGGTGTAGTGGAACTGTCCTTTCTTGTGGTTTGAGGCTGGGGGGATAAGAGATGGAGACGGAGATGAAAGGAAAAGAAGGGGAGAAGAAAGAGGAAAGAAGGGGAGAGAGAGAGAGAGAGAGAGAGAAGAAAGGAAGAAGGTCGAAGACAGCGTCGTCCAAAACAAGCTTCTCCATGTACCTAACAGGTCCACACAAGCCAGCTGTTCTCCGTTACCCCGCGCCGAACTGACAGCAGACGATCCTCTTTGCGTCACGCCGTCTGCAAAGACAAGTCTCAGAGGTCTCTGCACGCTGCCCTGCCCGACGGAGGACACACAGAGTGCTAGATCAACCAACAGCACGTGACCTTCGGCACAACCGACAGACAAAACTCCAGAAAATTCTTGCAAGAGAGCTGGGGAGAATAGACCCGCTGCAGACTGTAGAGCTGTACCAGATACCCCGCAGAGACTGGTCACTGACCACGGGACCTCCACAGCTCGTACGAGACGAGACGAGAAGGGATCGAGGACAGTTAGAGTCGCATTGGCTCGTACTCCGTCGACTGTGAGCGCCAAAGCCAACAGGGGCTGGTCCCGCGCCGAGGAGTCGGCAGAGAGGGTCCCAGGGCTTAGCTCGCAGCTGCAGGAAACGGCCACGCGACGTCCCTTGCCCGGAGACAGGCTCAGCTGCGAGACGCACTCTCCGTCTGAAGACTGAAAGACGCGGAGGAGTCCGCCTGGAGAGACGAGCCAGGCGTATCTTCCGCCGCACAGCAGCCCTCCCGCCGAGAACTCCACGGAGGGAGACTTGGTGCGGTAGGGTGTCGGATCGTAGACACGAGAAGGTGTCTGCACGGCATCACTCATCGCGCTCTCTGTGTGCACAAATTCTGAATAGTGCACACCTAGGTACACGCGCGCTCAAACTGCGCATGCTCATAAGTTGACCTATTGACCCCTAGGCCCTGCGCGTGGACTATGGAAGACGCGGCAGTTTTCGGTATATCTTTAGGTAGTGCTTCGTCCACCATTGCCCTGAATAAGGTAAATGCTCCATTAACCTAAATCCCGGTTTACTCGAGCATTGCAGGGAACAAAAACCGAACTACTAGCCAATCATGCCGGGGAGCGGACCACGCCCACTCTAGTGTCGTACCGAGAGGGCGGAGAGGTGAGTTACGTGACCCTAGCAACTACTGTGTGTGACCAGTCAGATTCCCCGTGTGTCAGGTGGTAGGTCGTGCAGCCAAGCAGACCCTACATCGCAACGTTTCAAACACAGTGTCGAACATGATACACCTGATTGGCAAAAGGTGAGCAATTTCCTACGATGTCATAATGATGTAATACCCCTAAACAACGTAATCACAAGTGTTTGTGCACATTTGTTGTGTTAGTGTAATGCGTGAGTGACTCAGATAAAATTATGATCTAAAATTGCTCTGTGACAGTTTTGATGATGAAGACGTTGAGAAGATAGCGTCAATTCTAACGTGTAAGGTAGGGAAGGGTGAGGAAGGGATGGTGTGCTACCTGGTGAAGGAGGGGGAGAGAGAGAAACCGATTCCAGTCTCAGACAGCCTGACCCTCGTCCTCAGGAGTCTCTATGGTAACAAAACCCTAGCCTACTCGAAATCCAGGCCCTTCACATCTTTGTGTTCATCATTCCATGGGTGGATGGTGCATAGCAAATCATGTGAAGGAAATCCTGTGTTGTTAAGCTGACCTAATCCCTTTAGTCAGAAAACCATAGGGTGTTAAAGCCTTAGTGGCTCTATAGGGATCTACAATAGAGTGAGTTCATTCTAACTCCAGACACGGGTGAGGCGTTCTCGGGCGGTGAGCCTGAAATGGCAGTTGTTGTCGCTGTTCCTCCCGACTTCACTCCACCACAGAGAAACTTAATCAGGTATTTTTATAAGGTCACCCCGAAATGAAGACACCTCTCTTAAGGACACCCCTGAAATGTGAACACCTATCTGAAATATGGATAGCTCCTTCATAAGGACTCTTTTTCTTTCCCCGTGAACAGTTCTTGCAGCAATTCAACCCCTGAAATAAGGACACTTCACTAATACGGACACTGTCCCATTCGTGTACAAATTACTGTATGTATAGGTGGAAGGAAGTGGGGTGTCCTAAACATTTAGTGTCCTATAGGTCATGTTGCTGGGGTGTCCTAAAGATTCGGTGTCCTACAGGTCATGTTGTGAGGCAGCTGGGTTTGAAGTGATGAGGATTATCACAGAGCCATCCGCCATTTGCCTTGCTCACGGTCAGTAGCGCCTTGAAAAGTGTGCCTCCTTTCACTGACCTCCACTCTCTGATATTGCAGATATAGGCCAGAGAAACAAAACTGAAAAGTGGTATATTATATCGGAGTAAAAATCTTTCCTTTACATTGCATATGCCAACTCTTTCCTCTCCCTTCCTTCCTTCCTCGCTACGTATCCCCAGCCACGTGATGGTGTACAATCTCGGAGCTCACACTCTGACTCTCTCCCTTCTCCTTGTGGCTGGTGGCATGTACAGTCAACTAGCCACTAAAACAGTGTGGGACAGTGTCGGAGGAAATGAATTTGACAAAGCAATTGCCGATTTCCTTGCTTCAGAGTTTGAGAAGTACAACAACAAAAAACGTTTTTTTGGATGAATTTTCACTTTTCATTTTTGAATCTGAAATTTTTAGGCAGCGGAGGGTCAGTATCCATGGTAACGAGAAATGCCGTTTCAAGCTGCTGGCAGCTGCTGAGTCAGCGAAACATGCCCTGTCTCGAGTCCAGACCACAGCGGTCCACGTGGAATCAGTACACGACGGGCTGGACCTCACCTACTCCCTATCCAGGTTTTACCCATTACATCACTATTACATCATTCAACCCAATAAACTCCTTGGATATTACGTATTTTACCACTGAAACCTTTTGCCTTTCGAGACTATTATACCTTACAAAAATCAATATCTTGGAAGTACAGAATAATTATATACACACTTGCGAAAATGCTTAGTTTTAAGTATATACACTGCTCTAGTGAAAATTTCAAAACCTAAATTTGATGTCTCTTCAATATTATGCCTCCTTACCTCCTTTTTTCCATCGTGAAAGAAAGTTTGGGTGCAAATCTCGTATGTTACTAGGGGAAGATTTGAGGGCCTGTGCACTGCTGTCTTCCGTCGCTGTGTGAACTCTGACCTCATTACCGGGGTCCTCTCTGACGGAGGAGTGACACGGGGTGACGTTGCTCGGGTGATAATGGCAGGAGGCAGCTGCAATATCCCCCAACTCCACTCGTTGCTGGAGAGCGAATTCCCGGGCTCCGAGATTCTCTCTTCCTCACCGTCCCCCGAGGTTGCTGTGGCAACGGGGTGTGCACTGGAGGCGGGGCTAATAAAGGAGAGATGGGAGGGGAGGGGAGAGGAGGAGGACGGGGTTCAAGTGCCTTGTGTCCCACACGACCTCTGGATAAAGGTAATTAAAATTTTCACTATTTGACACCTTGTCTTAATGTAGCCGTTCTTCTTCTCCCAGGGAGCCAGACTTAGAGATCATCTCCTGCTTCCCTCCCTAACCCCTCTTCCCAGCCACTCCTCTCTCTCCTTCTCTCTGGTACAAATGTAGTGTACATGTCGTGTACTTCCACTATTGCAAAGTATCAGTGGTGGTTACCTGTTGGTTTATTGGAGTTGAGCCAGAAAACTACAAAATCTCTGTCAAACAAGAATTTAATACCAGCAAAGGCAAACCCAAATACATATTGCCGTGTGTGGAGGAGTTTATATCATGTTATTAGTGCATTTATTTGCAAGTATAAAGTGCAATTAATGACCTTACGATCGTGACCTCCACCTTCACCCCGGTAACCTTATTATATCTGCCCTCCTCACCCGTCAGCCGCTGGAAGAGGACGCTTCGTTGCTATGGTATTCTCTGGAGCTCTGGGAGAAACGATCCACCAATCAGGAGACTGAGATTGCTAAGGTGGGTTCTAATTAGAATACTCCTATACATGCTATTTCCTCTAATTTTTCAGAATTTACTCCTCTGAAGTTTTTGCACTATAGTCCTCAATGAACTACAGCTGAGCCTTATACTTATGAGCCTTATACTTATGCAGACATGTATCCTTTATGATGTAGGTGTCAGTGCCAGTGGGCGTGGCCAGCGGTGAAACCGGTGAGGATGTGAGTGTGAAGGTGTCCCTCGTCTGGACGGCCGAGAATGCCGTAACTATGACGACTACAAAGAGAGACTCTGATTGGTCGATCACTCTGAACCTCACCTGTGATGAGTAGATGCACCGAGCTTATCGTTTCAGAGCTGTTAAAAAGGAATTGCAAGTATATAGCAAAACCGTTGGCGCTATAATAGAGTGTTGGCAACTCCACGCGATACATGCTTATAGACAGAAGAAAGTGTCTGTCTATATTAGTGAGGTCTCCATATTTCACGTTGAAGAAAAGATGTCCTTGTATGCTCATGTTAAAGGTCACCTTACCAAAGAAGGAGACTTATATACAGCACAGGGTGTGAGTCACAAGTGCAAGGTAAGGTCAGCTGCTATATAAGAGCATAGTCTTGGAGTTTATAGTGCTGCTGGTGATGTGGCATCATATCCTGTTGCAGTTTGCAGTTACAGGCAGCAGGAAGTGCATACCAATGGCTTTCATACCTACTCTGTATATACTGAGGTAAGTATGTTAATTGGAGGTGTGAAAGAACAGATGCACACATAACCTCAAATTAACCTTTTGCCCCTTGTTTGCCTTTGATCTTGTGCTCTGACTGTAAGCCACACAAATCCATGCCCTAAACTTAGCTAGAAAACCTCTAACAAAGCCTTTTCTTACAACCTGAGCTAGGTTTGTTGCTCAGGAATGCAGAGAAAGTGCCAGCGCCTCATATATAAGTTGGTATATATAGTAAGTGCTAGGGAGGTAGAATGCATTGTAATTGGGGTAAGTTGATTATATAACAGGATAAGTGGATGTGTAATAGTGATGGTGTCAAATGTTAGAGGTCAACGTTGTAATCTTCGTCGTCGCTGTGACTGTAGAGACGTTTGATGTAACTGTCCCTGTGTTTCAGTTCCTTATTTCTCTCTTTCTCATTCCGTTCTCGAGCATGGAACCTCAGAGAATGGATGCCTGCCACCATGTCTTGGTATGTGAGTCCTCGAGTTAGTCTGGTTCTTAGTTTTTCAGCCTTCCTTCTGCTGACATTTCCACCAGCTACGTTTCCTCTGGGGATATTACTTGACTGGTGAAGAGGGATGGGAGGGAGAAAGAAGGGCAGTAGAATAGAGATTCGTCATTAAAAAGATGGTGTAAGTAACAAAAGAAAAAGGGAATAACTATATACTTACCGGTGACTGTTTAAAGAATTTTGGCAGAGTCACTTTCAAACCATGTATCAGTAGTGTTTTCAACATCACCTTTCCCATTGTCACTAGCTGGTCTCCCTGGTAACAGAACAACAAATTTATACTCTGAACCTTGACGACAAAATGCTCCGCTCACCTCCCGCCATCCTGGGTTGCGTTCGTTGAAGAACCTAATGTGGGGGTTCTGTAATTCCCTCTCTGAGATTTCAGCCATGTGGGTGTTAACAATTACAGTTCTTCGACGTAAACAAAAGGTCCCGATCATACTCGATCCTCGGGTGACTGGATGCTGCGAACAAACTCCTCCGCAATCTTTTTGATCTCTTCCGGAGCCTCCTTGTCGTAGCGAGGATGGCTGTCTGGGTATGATGTACTGATGAGATACGATTTGTAGGTGCTCATTTTGGTGATCAAGTAGACTGGTACAAACGGGTGGAGGATGAGTTCTGGAAGGGAAGGGAAGAGAGTATAATGAACACTGAACGAAGGACACCTCTCGATAGAGGACTCTAATAATTACACTTTGGTGTGTTGTTAGCCTGAATAAAGGATACTTCTGCTGTTACTTCATAGTCACAGTGTGAGCAATTGTGAGGGAACCATTGTAACTAACCTCTTATCATTAGACAGGTTGCCACCAGCTCACCCATGGCCCACCTCGATAGTCTTGTGAGTCAGTGTCAGTCCAACCTGTACATACATGATTAGAAGTCACCAGGGACCAAGGATGTGGTGTAATTCTAATTTACCTGGGCAGGATATGGTGTACCTCTGAAAAGGTAATACCCTCTTAATTATAAACACCTCTGTACAAAGGACACTTGGTTAAGGGACGGCTCTGGATAAAGGACCTTTGAGGCTTATTCAGTTTTCTCAACCTGTCTAGAACAGTTATATACAAGTCCTATATACCTTTAGCACTGTATGTGTCTTCTTATACTCCAGACCTACGAGAACCAGACCTCTTAGAGAACCGTCCAGTTTCTCTCGACACAAGACAACGTGGGAATATTTTTGAAGAGTTTTTTGATACATGGCAAAAACCTGATCCCTCCTAAATAACGGTAGAAGAGAAAGAGAATGGGAATAATATGGGCAAGCTGCCATAGGTGTCCTCAACTTTTTGTGCATATCAACCTCCCATAAAGTATTATCTGAATAAATTGTGGTCTGCAATAAACCAAAGTACCATAAGTGCATAATTATTATATCGTAATTATCTCTAGAATGCTCGTGAGATTCTGCTGATGTCCTGGTGGTGAGTTGGATACAAAAACCCCTGCTACTCTAAAGCTGCACTGTCCTCTCTCTCTCTCTCTCACGTAATGCTATCATCCGCAGGCTGAAAGGCCTGGTAGTGAAACCGAAAGCACTCATCAATGGACACGTCGTCCAGATCTGCAGTCCTACACAGGTATGGCTGGATCCTGAGACTCCGTTCCTTCGGCATCCTGTGTAACCACACGACAAACCTCAATTCTCTGCTAGCTGCGCTCATCCACGCGCAACGCCTGCCGCCATAAGGTATCTTTACGCCCCGCGTTAGCAGTATACAACTCACCAGCGACGCCCAAGAGCCACGGTCAACATCACGAATGCTTCTTGATAAACCTATACACAAAAGCGAAGATTAGCATCAGGTCGGTCCTTTCGGACACGTGCGCGACCGAGACTCACATTGAAAAGGTTTCTGGCAGCTTTGACGGCGAAGTATATCGCAAGAGCGGCCGCCGCCGTGAAGAATATGCGGCCAAGATAGTGACCGAGCGTTCCCAGTACAGCCGACAGCATCTCCAGCATCAATGGGATAATGGCCTCGTGTTGGTCAATGGCATGGTGTATTATATGAGCTGCGCGGCCGTTTTTGTACACACGCACGCATGCGCATAAGTCGACGCCATAGGATGGGCCGGATATGCTGCGTTGTATAATACTGCACGCTGCGACGTCGTCTACTGTTGGTTGAGCTCTCAATTTACAGAGACCTGTGACCCTGAGCCTGATCCCACATCGCTAGCTTTGAACACCTGTCCACCACAACCATACATTGCCACATTGTACCTGTCCACCACAACCATACATTGCCACATTGTACCGTGGTTAGCTGCCGCCCTAACAGTTTTACAGCCTCGATTGCACCTGCTGGGGTTCCCAGGGGTACTTACATTACTGGGCTAGTCAAAAAGAGAGGGAAGGTGAAACAAAAGAAAGAGAGGGCGACAATAATTGCAACGCACAATTCCCACAAACTTCATAAGTATTTCGTGCGATGCAGGAGTTGCGTGGATCTCTTTCGCTAGAGGGCTTGGATATTTATGTCCCCATTGTCTGTCTCTCTCTCGCTCCGTTCTCGAGCATGGAACCTCAGGCAATGGATTCCTGCCTCCCTGTCTTGAAATGAGAGTCCTCGAGTTAGTCTGGCTCTTAGTTTTTCGGCCTTCCTTCTGCTGACATTACCACCGGCTGCATTTCCTCTGGGGACATTACTGGGCTAGTCGAAAGACAGGGTGAAAAGGAAGAAAGAGAGGTGAGAACATAATTCCCACATTAATCATTAATTGCAGGAGTTGTGTGAATTACCGACGGAGGTTTGAACTGCCACACCGTAACCTTGACAAAGTGCAGCAACAGACTTCTCCACGTCATCCTTGTCAACACCACCAGCTGGTTTCCCTGGCAACGGAACAACAAACAACTTCCAAATCTCATGTGTTGTAGCTTAGCTTAACACACCTCCCGCCATCCTGGGTTGCGTTCGTTGAAGAACCTAATGTGGGGGTTCTGTAATTCCCTCTCTGAGATTTCAGCCATGTGGGTGTTAACAATTACAGTTCTTCGACGTAAAACAAACGTGTCCCGATCATACTCATCCTCGGGTGACTGGATGCTGCGAACAAACTCCTCCGCAATCTTTTTGATCTCTTCCGGAGCCTCCTTGTCGTAGCGATGG